AGCTGCTCGGAGGCTGAGGCATTTGGTAAGAGATAGTGGCATATCCTTAAATAATGCCTGCCGGTATTCGGAGGCATTGAATTCCATCCATTTTTCCACCTCACATGACACAGAACATGTGCACTGCTTATCTGACTTTCGGGAGAACTGTGCCAAACACATAGCAAACACCCCAACTGATATAACAGTAAATCCATTGACTGGAGAAGGAAGACACAGCACAGCAGGTGCCCAATTAAATCACTCCCGAGAAAAATACAAAGTGACAATCAAACAGGTGCTGAGAGCCATGAGAAGGCTTCTCACCTCAGACCAAAACAGCAATCTGCCCAGCACAAAAGTGTTACAAAGTTGTGCTGAGCCAAACCCACAACATTTAAATTGGCTGCGGACTGCTTTACACAAGCAAATTGAATACAATGAAGCCAGAAAGATGCTGTATAAGCAATTGGCTTCTGATAAGGTGAACACAAGCTGTGAAAAAGCTTTGCAAACCCTCTCTGGAGGGGTTGACTACGGCACTGCTGAGCTGGTTCAACCTTACCGAGGATTTGGCTCTGAGCAGCACCGGTCTGTCTCTCTAGCTGTGGCCCTAAAAGCCCAGCTAGGAATACGAGAAGAGGTCAGACTTAGAGCAAGTGGTGTCAGATGCAGTAGCACTGACCGCTTTCAAGGAGATTATATCTGGAGACCCCTTTACAGCAATGCCCCAAAATACTCTAATGGCAAGGAATGGGCTGGGTTGTATCCAGGGTGCCAAGGGCGAAACAGATGCCTTGCTGCCAGCATCGCCCTGTTTGTTGCCGTGCTGTTTGCCACCCTCTGTGCCACCGGCTTTCATGTGCCAGAGAGGAAGCAGCTCGAAGCAGGCCCCAAGGTGGCAACAAACAGCCCAGACAATGCCCCTATATACTGCACACCCAAGAAAGGTGACAGGTGGAGAATGCTGCCAAACTATAGAGCAGTAAGTGCAGTCATAAAGCATGTAGGAGCACCGCAGCATGGACTGCCTTCACCTGATGTGCTCCCAACGAGTTGGCCGCTATTGGTAACTGATTCAAAGACTTGTTCCTCTACCACCTTCCTACACCCTGAGGATGTGCCAAGGCTAATCTTTCCCATCATGGCCTCGAAAAATGCACGGCCCATGCAAGGATATTACTGGGCTGTCTCTCCTCAGGGGATGCAAAATAGCCCGACAAGGTATCAAACAACCACGATACATCCTTATACAGGTAATATTCCAATGAGCATGGCCACAGGAAATGAACTGCCATTTACTCTTACTGCTCTAATCAAAAATGTCCAAGATGCAGGGTTACAGCTTGCAGCGGAGAAAATTCAGCAACCATTACCCTGGACTTTCCTTGGACAGGAATTCGTGCAGCAAAAGAATTCTCCACAGCTGCTGCAGCTCGAGGTAAAAAACACTTTATATTTACACGAATTGCAGGAGCATCAAGGGGCTGTTACATGGCTGAGGGCCATTTTACACATAACCTCAGAGGAGCTACACCCTCTGCTCCAGCTGCCAAAGGGAGACTCCAGTCCAATGTCTAACAGGCTTCTGATACCAGAAGCCAAAAGAGTGTTAGGCATTCGTACCAAGGCAATAGAGAGAGGGATAGGCAGAAGGAGAAATCCTGAACTGCAAATCTGCCTAGCCCTCATTCCCAGTAGGTATCAACTATTAGCAGCCTTGTTACTGTGGGATCAGACTGAAAAAGACCCACTGCAACTTCTAAAGTGGCTAATTTTGCCCCATGTACCATCTAACACTGTGTGGACTGTTAATGAGATGTATGCAAAGCTTGTCATTCAAGGCAGAGAAAGACTGCAGGAACTGGAAGGAGAGGACCCTGCCACTGCCATCATCTACATGCCAGCTACGAAGGACAATTTGGATAGGATGCCAGCTGAGGACACAGGGTTCCAAGCTGCCTTAGCAAGCTTTCATGGTAAAACTTTCATGCATCTCTCAAAACACAGGTTGTGGGCAAAGATCACTAATCTACCTTCGAAAGCCACGACCAGATGCCAACACGGACCAGTGAAAGGCTTCAGGGCCTTCACACCTGCATCTGGAAACAGCATAAAAGGCTGTAATAACTCAGGTAAAATCCTGCTACAAAACAAGGGAAGGACAGACGCAGACCACGAACCACAGTTGAGCAAGTTCTGGAAATGACCTCGTCCATATTGCCTTGGGAAAGTTCACTAAGCGATCTTTTGATGTTGTAACTGATTATGTTATATTGGAAGTTAATACCCCATCTTGAAGGTTTGTTTATTTGAGATATCGTTAGTTTTACCTGTTAACTGAAATGCGTTCTAATTGGTTTCTTGTGAATCATATGAGGTTTGGATTTTCATACAATGCATACAAGGTAACACAACGACAAGTAAGGGCCAATGACTGACACAGAATTAAGAGACTGACTAAATAACAACGTTTAACATCATATCTAAGGTCTTGAGGCAAGCGAAATTGTCTAGTTAATTTTTCCATCAGAACGCAAGTTCCTTAAACAGACAATTCAAATAACATTCAATTAGCTCAAGACTTCATCATGTCATGCCCAAATTGTCAAAAAAAAATCACAACAATGCCATCTCAGAATGCGTTAACTGCACATGGTTAATTGCAAATGAGATTGAGCAAACAGGTATCACACACATCTCTGAACTGGACATATTATAATATGTACATGTAACAGTAGGTATATACCCACACTACGTAACCTCCACAACACCCACTGCAGAAAAGGCCAAAAGTGTGAGACACTTTGGCTTAGTTGCCCAGCAACTCTTGGTCCATAATATTCACAGTAAAGCAGCTATACCTCCTATCAAATAGGAAAATTCTCATGTCACAAGTATTCCACACTCACTCGTTACACAGGTAATTATACAAAGAGCACACAACACAACAAAACAGTGTCAACTAAACAAAAAAGGGGGGAGAGAATCTGTATAGCTAAAACAATATCTGTGAAAATCCATGTATGTATTAATTTTCAAATTGTGACAAGCTGGAAACATGTGAGTATGAAAGGTAATACAAACCCCAGGCTAGTGTACCTCTCCCAAAACATCGGTCATGGTAAGGGATTTGGTATCTGGGCAGTGGACGGAACCACTAAATCTGATTTGGGAGAGAGGCTACGCTGGTGAGTCTGAAGAAAAAGAGTTAAAATGAACCCCTTCCAGGTCTGTTACACCCCACAAGGTACAAAATCACATCAGCAAGAACCAGAGTAATGCAGAAGTGTAAGAAAATTATGTTAATGTTTAAGGTTTACATTAAGGACAACCAGTGTGGCAAAAAACAGTTTATAAAAACCCATGAATGTGTGTATGATGCGTGAGATGATGGCCATCAAAGCGAATGAGAGAATGAATGGACAAGAGTGTTGTATGTCTGAACAAATATTGAAACACTAAACACCTCACAAATAACAATACCTCCGCCACAGGGTCATTTAAGAGAATTTAGTTCTGCTAAGCTTAGCCTGTTTCTTAATAAAGTTGTACTCCCCAGTTATTTAAAACCCTCAGGTTAATAAAGCTTATAAGTTTGCACGGTTAGGCCAGGGCCTATAGATGAATAAAGTTACTTCTCCAAGTTGCACTACCCTTTAGAAATATAAGAGAGTTTTAAAAGGTTCACAATAGGACTATAAGAGGCCGAGGCAAGCAGTATGCTGGATCATTGCAAGCTTTGGTAGTTTATAATGTACTGTTTTAATTGTTTGCACTGTTGTTTTTGTAATGTTTTCGTGACCTTCTTATACAATTAGGAGGGGGGAGATGTAGGGAACATGTCCCAAGGTGCAACAGGAAGGCACCAAAGCTAGGGGACATGCGCAGAGACAGACACTCCTATTGGTTAAGAGTCACGTGGGATCAGGGTATAAAAGAGCGCGCGTTGTTTGAATAAAGCTCTTTGTTTACCATCTCACAGGGAGCGTACCATGTTTTCTTTATTATATAAAGGCCAGCGGCCACATGCCGCAACAGATAACCTTCTTCCCTGCCCACTATTTGCTAATGTAAATTCTGCTATTGCAATTAACCATCATATACTATATATTCCAATTCCCTGTCTGTCTGTGCAACATTTAGCTGAGCAAACATGCAACTGAATGCATTTTAAACACTCGATTAACTGGGTTTTGCAGCTGTATAAGGACGTTCTGACTATCGTTTGTTGCAGCCTCTAAGCCGCTTTTCTTAACTTCAACACCCATCTATAATGAACACTTCTGGTTTACAAACAACATTCAAACACTCTTAAACATTACAGGACAAAATCAGACAAGGAATGGGGGAAAGAGGAGTGAAGGTACAACTTAGTAAGCAAAAGGTGAAATTGCTGTTGTCACAGCCCGAGAACTTACCAGGCACTTTATTAAACTGCAATGCACTACTTTACAGCGTTGCTTTTAAAATATGTTAACACTATATCACAGTTCCCAGCAGCATGAAGTCTTTCCAGAAAATATGTCATCACTGTATGCAGCATATTTTATAGCCAGTATAATTTCATTTTATTAGATCCAATAATATTTTTCTGAAATTCTAGGAAGTCTCCCCACAAAAGATAAGTAATGACCGTGTTTTAATCAGCTGGCACAAAGTGTAACCACCATACTGCAAGAAAAAGAAGGCTTTATTACATCAAAATGTCCTCAGTTTCATTTTGCCTCTGTGGAAGAGGTCACAAATAAAACCTGTGAGAATCTCATTCAAATATTATGTAGCACAAAACCTTTCAACTGCAAAGTTATTTAATTCCAAGACTGATCTCTACAGTTGAACCATTCTTGACAGAAGAAGTTGAATAAGCTCAGAATCCTACATATTGTACTAGCAAGAAAAATTGAAAAATATGGCAACAAAGCCTGAAACACATGCCATTTGTTTCATATGTCCAGAAATATTCTGAAAAGATGAGCTGTACACTTCTAAGTGAAATAACATAATTTTCCTTTTCTTACCATGCTTGGATTTCTGCTTTGTGATCTGCCCATGACTGGAAAACACTGCTGTGGAGCCCAGTATAACGGTTCTTTCCTCTAAATCAGACTCTGGGATTGTAGCACAGCCACCTAGTTGAAAATGGAAGAAACTTGATGTTGTGTTTATGTAACAAAACAAATTCACTGGTGCATAATTGAGGAAAAGAGGTGATAAATTAGCTGACAGGAACATATAAAACTAAAATAGTCTTTACTTTCACTTCACAGAAACATTTGTTAAAGAAAACTATTACCATTGTTTAGAAGGTTGATTATGTCTTAATGACTTCTTGCTACTACTTATGTCACCTTGAAAAAAGTTTGAATGTATTTAGACCACAGAATATGTAAAACTGGTTCCACACAAAACATGGAAAATATTTTGTGTTAAAGATCACATTACTGAGAGCTATTTTTGTAATAAAAATAATTAAGTGTGAATGAAATAACTTCACAAAATCAACAAACCTTATGAAGATTGTTAGCATACCACAGAGAATGACATGATTTTTTTTTTGGATGGGCTATTAAATACAGTATTTTTATTACCTAGTGCTAGAGATATGGAAACACAGCGACACTATCAGTGTCCAGTAACACACTGCACTGGTAATGATTTTAGAATGTATGGCATAATAGATTCTTTGTATTTTTCAATACTGCTTTACGAGAAGTTCATTAGACAACACAATTACTTACAGCTCTCTTCAAACATGTTTAAATGCCTATGTTTAAAATATGAAGAGACGGATAAACTAGTAGCAGTATGTCCTAGTTAGAACGGCTGGGACCGATTTCACCGCTGGATGGGTGCAGCCCAGGACTGTGTATTCTATAGCCTTCCATGCCATTCCCCAGAAACTGTTATCAGTAGAGGCCTGCGAGATGGGGGGATGTTCCTGTCGTCATACCCTTTTATGGAATTTCCCCTCTGAGGGAAGGACTGAGCATCTCATACCCTTTTATGGAATTCCCCGTTCTGAGGGAGGGACTGAGCATTCCCGCCTGAACTGGGGAATATATAAACTGGGCATTTCAGAACCTTTTTACCTCTCGTGGGATCCAGAGGAAGACTGCAGATCACCGCTCTCAACCAGACTGCAGCTTACTGCTCTCAACCAGACTGAGACCACCACCCTCGACTGGACTGCAATCACCACTTTCTGACCAGACTGCAGCAGCTCTCCCACCAGCAGGTTTTTCCCCTCTCCCTTTACTTTGGACTCGGGGGGGGGGGCAAGGAACACCACTTTTGTTCATACCCCAGGGTGCTGGGTTATACATTTGGGTTTTGCGGGTTAAAACTACTTGTCTGTCTGTATAATTGTATTTATTGTATTATTTTAATAAATTTTTATTCTGACTTATAATCTCTCTTTTGAGTTGAGTTCATTTCCCCTGCTGGTTAACTTTTAAACCAGCACACAGTATCAGCTGAAGATAGTTGCAATGGCTTGCAGCAGAATAGGTTGATATGAATTTATTTCAGAACAGCTGTGGTCAGTACATTGGAGGATGCGTCACTATTCCACAGGAAAACATGGCCTTGCAGTAATTGCATTGCCAACAATACAATACACAGCTGAGCTGCATCTCTTTCTCACAGCCCTCCCAGGATCACCACTAGCAAGCAAACAAATCCATGTACTTATCTATTGTGTTCTGAAAGCACGTGTTTATAAGCAGCACATCAACTCCCAATGGAGCACACAGACTTTTCACCTTTATGTCAGAGTTGTTCTATTTTGAAAAGACATGTTCTACTCCAGGCCCCATAAGCAGTGCATCCAATTTGAAGGAACACAGGCTGTTCTCTCTTTACAAACTAAATGAGTAAAACAGTTAAAAATGAGGATGCAGTCCCAAGGAGGAGAGTTGCATTTTCCCCAGCAGTTTCAGAAGCACTGGCAAACCAATGCCTGATGTCCTGCAGATATGTACCACCCTGTCTAGCCAGGGTAAAGCGGCTAGACATTTACCCTAGCTCCAGTGAATCCTGTGAAAACACTCATTACTACCAGATGAGGAACTAACACAGCATCTTTTGCTCCTAAGGAAGAGGAAAGACACAACCATATGCAAATACACTCTGAGAGAAAGTATAAGATGCATCACAGGGGTTATGTTCGATTTATAGCAAGCAAATTTTTTCACTAAGAAAGGAATATTAAGAGTGACTGTGTCAGCAATGTGCAGACTTATGACCCATGACAGCTTCGAATATTTAGGATACCTGCTATGAAAATGAAAGAGAAAATGGGAAATTAGAAAAACCTCTTCATATTAAAATACTGTAACACCGGGATAATGTCCGACGTTGCATTAAATATAAATGTACCTACAGGCTAAATGGAAATAAATATCAATAAACTAATACTTCTGTTCCCATTTGAAAATTGTGACTAAAATGTAAACTGTGAGATTTGAGGAAACTGAAACCAGTGCTTTAAATGTCAATTTAGATATTTTTTTATTCTTACTGTTCAGATAAAACCTACCCTATTAAACAGAGGATCTGTAAACAGAGGATACAAAATTAAGAGTTCTTTTGAGCAAGAAAACTTAAGAATGGCATCATACATTTTAAAAGGTTTTATAACACTTTGTATCAGCATGAGTGAAAACTCACCAAGTCAATTAGTATCTATTGAATTTCTACATGACAATAAAAGAACTTTTATAACATTCATTCTAACAACCTGAAATTCAGTAGCTTACATAGCCTTGAGAATTGATGGCTTTTGGTGCCAAAATATTTCATTAGTCATCAATGCTGACAGTAACTGAATAAGAGTTGGAAAAGGTCTACTTGCCCTTAGCTACAACACACTACTTGCAGAAAGGAAGCAGGACTTCCTGCTCTTGATTTTGATGTGAGAGATTTATTGAGATCTACTTGTCATGATACTATTAGAAGTTATTACAATTAAAAGCAAAATTAACTTCTTCCACTATTTTATTTACTTGAGAATAGTGAGGACTGAAATGTTGCCAGTGACAGACTATTTTATATAAAAAGAAAACGTAGACAGAAAACACAGAGCAATACTATCAGCATCAATATTAAGAATAGTAATTATGTGTTGCTTCTGCAAGGATACTAATAACTGTTTCCTATGAACTATTTTTAAAATACTATTGTTTCATAAGGGCATTCCATGTGCTAAAAGCACTGTTCTCAGTGGGGTAGAATTTCACCAGGACTCTTGTGACAATAATTATTTAAATGAGTGATCAGACAGGAAACAATATAATAGTAATATTTTTACTTTTTTTGAGAAAATGAGGCTTACAGGATCAAGGTCTTTGTGCCCCCTCATTTCTACCTTGCTCTTCTACTACCAGTATTACCTTCTAAATGAAGGAACTACTCAAATTTGCTAAATGTATGTTCCTTAACTTGTTCAGATGCCTAGGGCTAGGTAGGATGACCAGACCCTCATTTACACATCAACCTTCCTCAAGTGCTATCCACGTCTTCCAGTGGAACTAATGGCAAATTCCATTTTCTTCCTCTTCCAACAGGCACAGGTACAGTTCCTCAAGACAACAATCAGTACCCTTGACAATATGCTCTGATTCCACACAGGAAGAAAGAAGTGGAGCTCACAGAGACAACTGTCACAGTGAAGGAAGCGAAACATTCAAAGTAAATTGTAAACTTTCACTAGACTGAAAAAGAAACTGGATAAGGCACAAATATACACTACTGAATATAATATTTTAACAATGGTAGGCCAGTATTTTGTGCTTCCAAAACATTCTACAATTCAGAAGGGCAGCTATCTGAAAAAAAAAAATCCCAAAACCAAACCAAAAAAAAAAAAAAAAGAAACCAAACCAAAAAAAAACAAAACCAACCAACCAAACAAAACGAAAGACCCACAATCCTTTTCTGCTAGGACTATAAGTTTTTTAATTTCAAATTTCAGAGGTATCTGCTCTGACTTCTCTGGTCAGAACTTCTACTTTAAGTTTAAAAAACTCTTTGAATTTTTGTGTTCATTTCAATAAGTATTTACTGAATGTCCATTTTAGCAAGCATTTTAAGTTTTTATGCACCTGGAACACTAAAAGAAATCACAGCAGAAAAATAACTCACATTCATTCATAATTACCTGAATGGTACAAATCTGAACAGTGAAATATTTAAGGAAAAAGAGGGAAAAGAGGCAGGAATAGTAGTACATAAATCTACACACTGGAAACTATTCAAGTTGAGAAGTCCTCCAGATGTCAGTCTGTAAACAGTGCCTCATAAATGAATTTCCCCACTAATTGTTGGCAGGAATAACATCTAGAATATGTTATTACATTTGACCCACTCTTTCCCCCTTTACAGTGTAGCTAAATTCTTGTCTGACATCACAGATGTTTTATCAGTTGTGATAAACCCAAGAAAGCAAGCTTTTGTCAGCAAAACTGTTTGATAGGGTACAAAACACATAAAATTACACTCAAGCTAATTGTGAACTTTGTTCACCAAAGGAAATGAGACTTCTCATGCTTATTTTCACTACATCTGTTTTTGTAACACATTTGGTTCTTAAGTTGGAAAAAGATACCCACACCCAAAGGAAACATAAACATATAACACATATTGAACAAAAATTAGGTACTGACAGTTTTCTTACAGGTTCATATCACCATGTTTTCACACATTTTATTGTGGCTCTAAAAGTGGAAAAACAGGAAAACAGAAGTGGTATACATCTAAAAAAATTAAAAGGTACTTTGAGGTAAAGAGTATTTGAGTTTCCTCTTTCTCTTACCCTCAGTCACAACCTAAACTATGCATAAAGTTTCCATTTTCCTCTGAAATTAAGTATTAAAAGAGTCCACAGAAAGAAGAAAAAAGCTTCCTGAGCAGCCCTTGGCAGCAAAACAGTCCAAATGTGAGCAGAAGCCTTGTAAATAATAGATTTTGCATCCATATGTATACCATTATACAATGGAGATAATCTAAACAGCAAAATTATTTCACAGAGATTCCAAAAAACCATATTCAAAACCACGTTCACTTTGGTTTTCTTGTGCTGTCAACCATTTTAGGAAAGTGTATACTAAAAATGCAGTCTACAACATTAGAG